CAATCACAGGGCAACTGAGTGAAATACAACCATGCACACGTACGCACACCTAAAAGCAATTTAGAGTTATCATTTAACCTAATGTTCTCGTGTCTGGATTGTGGGAGTAAGCCAGAGCATCAGAGACAACTCATAAGGAAAACTTAATGATACATCATTTTAGTTTAATGTGGACCCTGTCTTATTAGGAAAACCACGTAAGATTTTGCTTGTGCAATATTTATTATGTAACTGGTCCCTATGATTATTGGAAACCAGCTTACCCTCTGTTATAGAAGCAAAATTGAGAAAAGGGAAGCTGTTTTTTTGTACTTCACAGGTTTTCTGGCTCAAACATACTCTGCATATTCAGAACCAGTTGCAAACATTTGGAAGCAACAATTAGCTCTTATGCTCCACTTATCTGGAGTGCATTTCCAAAAAAAACTGTAAAGCATCATTACTCACATTTTCAGTCCAACTTTCTTTATATTTTCTTATCAAGCATTTTATACTTCTTTTTTTCCAATATAATCATGCTATAATTCTATTTATTCACTGGTATTCTTTAATTTTTGCTATTCATATTTTTAATAACCTTCATAACACTTCAATATACTTTCCTTTTGTAATGTATAGCACTTTTAATTATCTTGGTACTGAAATGTGCTACATAGATATACTTGCTTTGCATCCCTTTTTGAGTCTATAGCCCCAGGCTATGGGGAAAAAACATTATAAAAACTGATATGTCTAGAAAATGTGTGCTTCCCTAAATCTGAAATCAGAATATGACTGAGCATATATGTTTATTGTAGGAGTCATTCAATGAATCACAGTAACTCTGCTTGATCACAACTTAAGTGTGAGATTGAACATTGTTGTCAGAGAGCAGGAGAATCCATGGTGATATCTATCTATATTCTTTGATGTTTCTTAATCATTGGGTGTGCAGGTGGTGCAGCGGTTAGCGTGCACGACCCATGTACGGAGGCCTTAGTCCTCGTTGTGGCCGACCCGGATTCGAATCCAACCTGTGGTCCTTTGCCGCATGCCTCTCCTCCTCTCTCATACCCCCTTTCCTGTCAGCCTACTAGAAAAAAAACGAATGACTAGTGCCGTAAAGACTGAAAAAACAAAATGTTTTTTAATCATTATACATTCAAGTGTTGCTTTTTTTTATGATTATTTCAATTGTATGATGCATTTCACTCTCTTTTTAAACAAAGGCCTGAATGAGTTGCTGTAAGATCTGTTATACGAAATAAACTTGCCCTTCCTGTAAAATATAGATATCTATTATGGTTCTTTGTTGGGTCTAGCATCCAGTTGCATAATAATGTTAGTATAATAGTAATCTGAAATAAATGTTGATACCACTGAATACATCATAGATATTTAACAATAATGTAAAAAGATTATATTAGCTGCTTGTTAAAACTGAGAAAAAAAAGTAGCTTGCACAACTGTTGTTCTCACTGTGAATTTCATCACTGAGTGATCTACCATTCAGATTATCTTTGTACTCATTTCTATGATAATATTACCCCAAGTAGGAGAAAATTTAAAATAAACAAGAAATCTTTTTTAAATTATGATTAAAGGGAGTAAATACCATCTAGAAGACCTATTAGAAATTAGCCATCTATATGATAAAAATGTTAGAAATAAATACAAACTCCTGTTTCAGTTTTACTGCGATTTGTTGAGACTAAGTTGTTGTGTGAATAAATCATGGCCTGGTTTATGCAGTACAGAATCACACTGAGAGTTGCTCTATTTCACTTACTCATGTTATAGACCTACCAATGAACTGAGATAGGACAGATGTTGTATGGGACAGATATTACCATGATAAATGGTAATGCATTTTTTTTACTTAAAGTCATAATAGAGTAATATTTTTTAATTTCTTCACCTATGCTGACTGACTCCAGGTTTCAAGAACTTCAAAATAAGGTAAGGTGTGAGATCTAACATGTAGTATAGCTTTTAACTGGTAGGGAACATAAAATACTATGAAAGGTCTATAGGAGGCACATTAAATGCTACTAAATGCATGTTTATTGCTTATTATAAATGGAAAGGAGCATTAAATGCACTTAAAGCTTTTTAAACAATACACTAAATTTGACCAAAGCCATGCTTAAGAGTCGCTGAATAACTCTTATGAGCAAATAATCAATTCTAGTGATTTAGTTCAATTAACATATACTATTTCCAACCTACTGAACAAAAAGTTGAAAAGACAACATGATCCAAACGGTATCTATATTTGGTCGAAAAGGTAAATAGTTGTAATTTCCAGACTGTTGAAAAGACGTTGAAAATCCTGTCCAACAGTGTTTGTATCACAACACATAATTAGATTTATTAATTATAATTATTAGAATGAGTTTGTTTTTTTTCACTAAAAGATGAAGTTATGCCTACTACGCTACAAAGTTTTTGATTACGTCACCCATGACTCTTCCGGGAGTGCAGCAGATCAAAGCCACATCCAGACAGTAAAATCCACCCGTTCTGATTTGACTCTTAAACGTAGGATTGACTTGACATTGACCAATCAGATGAGACGTAGAACAAAATCTCACAAATGGTACTTGCAAGTTGATATTCACAAGAGACTTTAAGCACAGTTTATTCATGTCTGTAAAGAGATCTTGGCAGAAAAATATTGCAAGTTGTGCAATGAATTTGCAGCAGGTGTATGAATCTCTGACTTAAGTAATCATCTTTGCAAATACAAATCTTTTTTACAAACACTTAAATTCACATAAGATATATATTAGATATTTTGTTTTACAAGTTGGAATAATTATTCACACATACATATACTGACTTACAAGCAGAAAATATAGATGTATTATGGATTCAATTAATTAAGTTTTTTTAGCCTTTAACACCACCTTGAATACATTAGTAATTCTCAACTTGATTTCATTGCTACAATAAAACATAACAGAATACAACTTCTTTCAGATTGAGCAAAATTCTTATAGTAATACTTAAGTTATACCTGAATCACTTCTTTGCTCAAGGTAGACAACATCGCTTCCATGTTTTTAATTATGTCTTGTGTTATGTTTGCAAGGACAGGTCAAGGTGCGGTCAGATACACTAAAACACTTTGCAACTATTGTTCCTTAGTTTCAGTGCTGTTTGTATCATGATGGTAACTAAAACAAAAGATAGGAACATAGTTTTATAAAGCATTTTATAATGGAAAACATAAAACACGTTGGAAAAAAAATCTAATTCTAGTCTATCACGTTTGATGTTGTTTTGCACATTTCTGTGTTTTTTGTGGCTGTGCTTGTTAGATTTAAGAGCCAGTTTCAGAAACTGTGCACAACCCTCTCTATAAATCATTAAGAGATAACTGGCTATGTGCCATCATTGTACTTAAAGCCACATCCAAAACAGATTCACTCCACACATACCCAATATTCAAACACACTAGTGCAAACACCCAAACACACTTGGAGACTAACATTTTTATTTTTTTTATTTTATTCATAAATGCTCTCCTATGAATAGTGGCTTCCCACTCAGTGGTGAAATAAACTGTTAACATTTAATTGTCTTTAATTCAAAATCAGGTGTTCTGCTGGTTTAAATATCCACAGTTCCTAGTAAATTAGGTTAAGAACTGCTAATTGATCATCAGAATTGTTAATTATAATGATGAGCTACGAAGTTGTTTTTCATACTTTGTGTATATATATCCATCCATCCATCCATTATCTGACACGCTTGTCCCGAGTGGGGTCGTGTGGTGTGCTGGTGCCTATTTCCAGCAGTCAATGGGCGAGAGGCGGGGTACACCCTGGACAGGTTTGCCAGTCCATCGCAGGTGTGTATATATATATATAAATAGCACAATAGCCCAGGCGTATCAATAGCACATTGCAAAGATATAGCCTAAATTCAAAAGTGGCACTAATAGCAGTAGCATAATGATGATAAGGATCATGAAATTATGAAGTATCAGGGAACAACCTGTCTGAAGCTGCAAAAATGTATAAGTCTTATATAAGCCCTGTATGGCAACCCAGTATTAAAAAGGACTATGTGGGCTTAAATATATAATAAGCATTCATGATGAAATGTTTATCCTGGAGCAAATGTCACATAGTAGCATGAGGTGAGGGAGGAGCAGTGAACAATCTCACCATGTGGAATTCACCATGCGCTGCTTCACCGCCCTTCACCAAGCAGTTTAGGTTTTGTTGCAATGGTGAAATTACAGAAACACGATAAAGGACTCTTTATATGGTGGACCTGTTTCTGTTGTGTGGAGTTGATTGCTTCATGAGGAACCAAGCAGCAACTGACATCCATCAGAGCAGTGCTCTCTAATCCCAAAATGTCATGAAGCAAGGACAGATGGACCCAGTATTCAAGGAGAGACAGTCAGTAGGAAAGTTCAAAACATTTATTAAATAAACAAACAAAACAAAAGTGGAGCTGTGGCTTGTGGACACTGCAGGATGGGGAGCAGGGCACCGCCCAATCTCAGACACTCTGGTTTAACAGTCCAGACCAAGAATGTCCCCAAGTGCTGCAGTCAGGGATGGTCAGGGATGCAGATCATGCAGGAACAGACAGAACAGGTTTAAGATCAGGCAGGAACAGAACAGGTAGCAGGATCCAGGCTTCCAGGCAATAACAGGCTCCCAGGAGGGTTCAGAGTCTGACTGGGACTGGAAGCATGACCAGGTGGTCACGCACAAGAGCAGACAGGATCAGGTGCAGACGAGCAGACTCAGTGGAAGAGGGTAGCCGGAACTTGAAGCAGGACTTTAAACTGCTCTCCTCCCTGGAGCCAGGCTTACTGAGATAAAAACTGAACCTCCCCACATATTGAGCCAAAAACCCAGAGGACTCCGCAGGGGAGGAACAGTGGACGATCAGGAGACGAGACAAACACAGGATCCAGGATCCAGGACACAAACCAAGGAACAAAACTAACAGGCAGGCTAACAGAAAGACAAGCAATGATCTGGCACTGAATGCTCAGGCTGAACTGAATATAACCAACAGGAAACAGGTGAGAGAAATAAATTATAATTGAGGCAGGGAGGGAAAAATGACAGGTGAAAGGAATGACTAATTAAGGAGGAGCAAACAGGCCAGATCATGACACAAAATCCCACATCCTCCATGACCAACCTCCATTATTTTGAGGATTTCAGAGGGAAAAAATGGAACAAAGTTCATATTCCTGCATAAGACCTACCTATTAGATCTGTGGATGGTTTTCCATGCTTGCAAGAGAGCTAGTAGCAGTAGTGGAGTTGGAGATGCAATCCACTTCTTAAATCTATCTTTGCTCTCCTTTAATGTATCCAGAAGCCTGCAATCACAGCTCTCCCTCCCAACTTTGTGTTCGGCTGGATATTTAGCATTTCTTCCCTGGAAATGCCTTTCCAAATGACTCTTTTTATTTTTTTACAACCTCTAATTACAAAGCAAAAATTCAAGCAATCCTTCCACATTTGTAATGAAAGAAAACCCTTTGAATTATCTGTTCTCATTAGGTATCTTCCTTTTTTTCCCTTTTGGATCCATGGCCCTGTCATGATTTTATCTAAGGCTCGGACCCACATGCAGTGAAACCAAACAGAGAGACAGGGATGAAAAGTTTGATGGATTTTATTGAAGATGTTAAGCTCGGTGCAGAGTTTCCCTGAACTCTGCTCAGCTGGAGCAGAACTAGAAGGCGAGGGGAAGACAGACTGTTAGTTCAGGCTCAGTGGGAAATTTGATTCGTTGATCTTTAAGGAGAGGATCTGATTGTTGACTCACGTTTCCAGAGAAGTGAAGGATCCTTGACTTCAATCTGTGTGCTGGTTTTCCAGTGTATGTCTGATTAGGCGGAGGGCAGAACAGGGTTTACCCAGAACTCAGACGGTGTAGGTGAACGGAGACGCTGATTGCCACTCAGATTTCCTGCTGTACTTGAATGGGTCTTGGTGAAGATGATTCCCTTGCTCAGAGAATAATTTCAACGTCCTCAAAAAGGAGACTGGATCCAAACCTCCTGTTTGAATCCCTGGCTCAATTTAAGACTCAGTTGGTCCCTCCTGGGAGAGGAGGTCCAAAAAGGTCCAGATTGCAGGATGACTTCCTGCCGAGAGGCAAAGACAAAAACAAAGTTAAAACTCAGGGAGACAAGAACTCAGTCTTACTCAGAGAAAACTCAGCTTGGCTAGAGTACCAAAA